GAGCAACCATGTTGACTGGGCTATCTCTGTAGATAATCAAGTCCCTAAGAATGAAGACAGAGTAGAAATGGAGAATGTGAAAATGAAGCAATTATAACACCTTCTATCGATGAGTAAATGAGCAGAAAATCCATAGATGCAGAACAAGAAAATAGCACACTTCCTTCAATAGAACCATGTTAGTGTTGCTTGTTTTTGTATTTGTCTTGTTTTGTTTTGTTTTCCTAACAAGAGAAAGGAGGAGAAATTGAAGAATGATCTGGAAATGTAGGGAGGCTATTGATCACAACTGGAGGTTCAATTTTAACTCATTGTCATATAACTTAGTTGTTATTCAGGAAATAGGCTGAAAGACACTTGCAGATGAAAATTGTGGAGGCGGGAATGTTCTGAAGTTATCGGTGTAGCCAGGATCATCACTTTTAGCTGGCAAAAAGATGACCATTTCTATGGGAACATTAGCACATGAGTGACCTGACCATTGTAAGTCTCTTTATGATGGGCTTCTACATCCAGCTCAGGTGATATGCTGATCAATCTGCTTTACCACACCAGGCAAAACAAGTACTGAATTTCAACCAATGGTCACAGATCTCATATTGTCTCCTCCTTGCTGGTACTATTCTTTTCTCCTTGGCTCAACTGTTGCCTTTTAAAACTCTTCACTTAAAGCAGCCACTAGGCTTTTCCTTGGGTACAATGCAGAAGAGGAACACAATGATAGAAGTGGGTGCTTGTTATTTCAGGTACAGCTGGACAGGTGGGATGGGTGAGGGCAAAGCTACAAGGATATCAAGAGTAGAAATGGTGACGTCTGCCTTTGAAGCTACACAACTCCCTGCACAACCAAGTGAGTGGAGCTTTGAAAGCAATGCTGGTAAAAAAAAAAAAGTAACATAATATCAACTTAGTTAAGGCAAGATTCTCTGTGGGGAAGGAAAGGCCTTCAGCCTCTATTTGGCCCTGAGGCTCATTGAGAGAGACCTTTGCTGTACTTCAGTTGGGCTCAGAAAGACTCCTGCCCTCTCCCAGAGATTGGCCAGCAGTCAGTCTCTCTTATTCTGTGTTTTCTTACCATCTCTTCCCCTTTTTATCTGCTCTCCTCTGTTGTGCACATGGTCTCTTCCACTATGCCCTTCCCCACAGCCTTTTAAATGTGGAAATAAACAAAACAATAACATGATCAAGAGCTTACTAGTTTCTAGACCAAGTGCGGTGGCTTATACCCGTAAACCCAACACTTTGGGAAGCCAAGACAGGAGACTTGCTTGAGACCAGGAATTTTAGAGACCAGCTTAGGCAACATAGGAAAACCCCCCCTCTACAAAAACAAATTTTTTAAAATTAACTGAGTATAATGATGTACACTTGTAGTTTCCGCTACTCAGGAGGCTGAGGCTAGAGGATCCCTTGAGTCTAGGAGGTCAAGACTGCAACTAGCCACTGCACTCCAGCCTGGACGATAGAGAAAGACTCGGTCTCAAAAAAACAAAAACAAAAACAAAAAAAACTGGTTTCCAATGTAACAACTCCTTTATCTCAGAGTAGATGTACACATAGAATTGGAGGCTATTTTTTTCTTAATTACAATGTCTTAGCTCTTGTGAACTGAGTTTGCTGGTGTGGTTATGTCACTGTGGATAATGATTTTCTTGTTTCTTTACACAATGTTTATCAGCTTTTATTATGCTTCCTGTCCTGAGCATGCTCCCTGTTTTGTAAAACAACTGGGGAACACTGAGATTTTGCATATAATATCTGTGATGTCAGGCTTCTAAGGGATAAAGAAATACAAAGAACAGTGAGTGGACAGATTGAGTGGGGCTTTAAAAGCAATGCAGAGTAAAAAGATAATAGAATATATACTATAAAGACACACGCAAATGTATGTTTATTGCAGTACTGTTTACAATAGCAAAGACTTAGAACCAATCCAAATGCCCATCGATAATAGACTGGATAAAGACAATGTGCCACATATACAACATGGAATACTATTCACCCATAAGAAAGGATGATTTCATGTCCTTTACAAGGACATGGATGAAGATAGAAACCATCATTTCAGTAAACTAACACAGGAACAGAAAACTAAACACCACCTGTTCTCATTCATAAGTGAGAGTTGAACAGTGAGAACACATGGACACAGGGAGATGATCATCTCCCACTGGGGTCTGTCAGGGGTTGAGGGCAAGGGAAGGGAGAGTATTAGGACAAATACCTAACGCATGAGGGGCTTAAAACCTGGAGGTCAGGTTGGTGGGTACAGAAAACCACCATGGCACACGTATACCTATGTAACAAACCTGCATGTTCTGCACATGTATCCCAGATAAAAATTTTTACTTAAAGTAAAAATTTTTAAAAAAGAAAGATAATAGAATATTAACCTGATTAAGGCAAGATTTGTATGTTTTTAACATATATTCCCCATTAAAGATTACACATGTCCTTCTTAATGTTATTAACTTTGTCATGTATTAAGATGAACAGAAAGGCAATTCTATTATATGAATTTTTCTTATTCTTGTAACTTTCAAAAAGAAAAAAAAATAATAAAACAAATACACACTCAGCTCTCCCCAAAATAACCAAAACAAAAACAATCAGTGCAATAATACTTCTCAAAAGATGATAGTGCTGGCCTCACTATCAGAAGGCCTGCCAGCTTCCATTTATGCACTAGAAGTGCATTTAAAACTTTTATTCCCTGCATCTTGTCTTTAATGTTATTATAACTTCAATCCACTTCGTTGGCATTACCTGCTAGCAACATTCCATCTTCACATTTGGATGAGTGTGAACTTATCAAGGTGATGTATCTGTGATTTTCAGTGGAAATTTTGCTTAAAACTGGGTGCCTATTAGCAGTGACTCGCCTCCTTACCAAAGGAACAGGGTTTGCTGCCTGCTCAGCCACACAGACCCTTGGGGGGCTTCCTAGGCTGGGATGGGCTGCTGCAGTATCATCACACTTTCTTAGTTATAGCACAGAGGTATAGAGGCAGGAGGAACATACTTGCTGTGCAGTTTTCCTGATACCACACCCCAGGGTAGGTTAGCACTCATGGAAAATCAGTTTAAGATGAGAAACATTTCAAACATTTTTCCTTATTTTGTTCCCACGTGCAAATAGAATAATGCATTTTAAGTAACAAAGAACCCTTTAACAGCAAAACAAACCCAAAAAGATACTTCTCCTTAAAAGCCACTATCTACTTAGGATATTCTTCTTATATTAAATAAAAATACAAAGAGTAAAGTGTACTTAAAATCTCTCACAAAGATTGGAAATAAAGTCTTCAAAAAGTGAATCCGTACAATGGTACATGCCCGGGACGTAACTCATTATTATGGGAAAATGAGAATGATAGCACCATGGTACAGGTGAATCAGGATAAGAACAAGCTAATTGCATTAGGGCAGCTCTCAGAAAACAAGAATTTATTTTTTGTGTGACAAATATGCCTCAGTACAAAGTACACAAAGCATATTCTGACTGTTTCAGTGATATGCCAGCTTTATTTCAAGTGAAATAAATGAATTTTTAAAAGGTTATAAAAATGTATATGCTTTAAAAAAATTCTTTCAATAACCTGTTGGGTATCTGGAGTATCCATATATTGGAGGTCTTTGTTCTCATTCTACAAGGAAAATTGCCAAATCCACTCCAGAGTGCCAGGCTTAAAAAGGTGTTAAAGAGAGCCAGCCCGATTCCCTGAATTCCAATTTGGCTCACAATGAAAGGTAGAAAAATTACCTCGATGCATTTCAATGTTGCTTCTCCCATTGCAATAGACCTTATTTAATAGCTTATTACACTCAGAAAACAAAGCATATTCTAAGGAAAGAACTCACGGCTCCTGTCTCTTGACAGAACAGTCTCTTTGAATTCTTTTGTCGATTTCATAGATTTCTAACAAGCAGAGAATTGTTTTTTTTTAATCTGATTTTTTTTATGCCAGCAGCACTATTTCCTCCTCTGTAAGTAGGACAGATTCATGCTAGAAGCAACAATGGATGCTTCCCTGCTGAACTTGAGCATGGCAGATTAAGCTTCAAGCGGGCCGGTAAATGCCACCTCCCCACTTAACAAGACTGTTCAGAGCCAGGCATTTGGGGCCACGCTGTATTTGTTCCTGGAACTGCTGGCTGATGAACCACTGCTGTCTGAGGCGGCCAAGCAGCCCTGACTGAGCGAGCTGTGTGAAGACTCGACAGAGGCCTGGCAGGGCTGAGTGGGCATGCCTCATTGCCGGCGCTTCCAGGCAAATTCCTTGCCTCTAAATTGTGCCGGCCTCAGGACAGTTGCCTTGTACAATGCCTGGCAGAAAGTAGGCACTTTGCACATGTTTACTGACTATAAAAGAGAAAAATAGGGAGAGAAAAAAATCTGAGTTTAGAGATGCCTTTCAGACCTTACCAGATAAAATGCTGTGATTTCTGGCAAAGTGGTTAGGTGACACTGACATGGAAGAACAGCTAAGAGGTTAAAAAAAAAAAAAATAGGACGAGCAATGAACAAGCTAATAAAACACATGGAAACAAAATTAGTAGTAGCCAAAATCTTTAATTGATCAATTATATTTCAAAATATCTTTTGTTAGGATAATGGCACTTGCAATGTGATGTTTCTAAATGCCTTTTAGAGACCAGTGTGTTCCATAAAGAAAAATACACCTGTATCCAGAATTACAATTTTAAGAACCATTATTTAGATTGCTGTAAGGTATCTTAAAATGCAATTCAATTTGCTCCTCAGATATTGCGTGTCAAACTATAAAAGCAGAGCTACATTGTTGGCTTTCTCTTTTTTTTTGGCGTGGAAATAGTATCGAGAATCTGCCTGCTGATGTCAGAAACAGACCGAATCAAACCATACAAAAGCATGAATGTACTGTTCTCACATTTATGTCATTGATGGCTATTTTACTTGTTTGAATCTTAAATCTTTCACAACCACATGCGTATGTTTGTCATTTATCCCCTTTTCTCAGGTGCAAAGAAGGCTACCAAGGAGTCCGTTGTGATCAATTTCTGCCGAAAACTGATTCCATCTTATCGGATCCAAGTAGGTCAAGCATTTTTCTTCTCTCTAATGCAATATTTAGGCAGCCCTTATTCTATACGGTGGTTGTTAACTCAGCTGAAAGCTATATTTCAGTCTTGTGTCTCTGAAAGCTGCTGAAGGCAGAAACTGATGGCAGATGTTGGTGTTCAAAGCATGCTCAGAGCTGGCTCAGTCTAGGTCTTCTCTGACAGTGAGGCCTGGCCTACCAATTCCACCTTGAACCCCTGCTGGGAACTCCCAGAAACTGGGACCTCCTTAGCTCTCCCTCTACCCAGCCACCCAGGACCTCATTTCAAAAACAGGGATCTAGAAAGGTAAAAGAGCTGAAATAATGTTATGGAAACTACAGTGTTAAACTGCTTCTTATGCTTTGGTTGGTAATTTAAACCATATCTTACTAAAGTAAGAAAACGTGTATAAAATCATGTGAGAAGTTTTCAAAGAAGCTTTAAAAACTCCATTTTCCTTATTTATTTATTTATTAAAGTTTCTTTAATAAAAATAAACTTTGAAAACTCCATTTTTGGCAACACTGTTTGCAGATCAGTAATTACTGTCCTAAGGACAAATTACTTTTTTCTCCATTCATGAAAGACAATTGCGGACTAAAAAATATGGCTACTCATTATTTTCTGTTTGTATGTGAGTAAAAGTAACCTTTTATACTAAAATGCCCAATTCTGGTCAAATGTGAAATGTTTATCCTTTAAAGAATTCTCTGCTCTTTCAATAGCTGCTAGAATTGAATCATTACTCAAAAAGGGGGATTTTTATTGAATCAGCAATTTAGTTTAGTGAGGATAATAATAGGCATTTTGCAATTGTAAAGGCAAAGTTATGGCTTTCTGAATATCATACATACTGAATATACGTAACATAGACTTCAGCAAAATATTTTGTACTGACTACAGGCAGAGGTCGCCCTGCCTGTGTTTGTTCATTTTGCCGCATAATGAACATGTCTCGCCATCTTCCACTATCTTTACAAAATGTGTATTTTCATTTCCCCCCTGAATTTTTAGCTACATTTGCTTAAGTAAATGCAAAGTTATTTGAAAGAAAAAGGTTTTGTTTCATTTAATTTAAACTTCTATTTTATCTTGACAAAGCAACCCACCATACAGCAATTACTCTTTCTTTGCAAATTTAGCTTTCCTTGAGAAAAGTGAAGGTTGCCACAGGGATATCTCTATTTCCTGAAAGGTGAGGCACGGTTCTCTAGGAATTACCCAGAAAGGATGGTGTTACTGGAGTTTTTGGTATCTTATTTATGAAGTGATTTGGTCTGCTTGCTAAGATGTTATCTGAAAGGGTATTCATGGTTATGGTGTTAGATATATATTTGGCATATTAGGAATCTTGCATAAAATAATGGGCTTGCTGAGTCCTTTCTTTTTCTTTCTCTTTCTCTTTCATTCCCACTTTTCCTAATGTATCTAATTTTCCTCTTTGTTTTTCTTTCTCTTTTCTTTTTTATCCCTTTTCTTTTACTATTTATCTTTCTTCATCATTTTGTTTCCTTTAATACTTTTTCCCTCCCTCGCTCCCTTCCCTCCTTCCTCCCTTTTTCCCTCCTTCCTCCCTTCCTTCCTCTTTTCTTTTCTCCCTCCCTCCCTCCTTCCCTTCTTTCCTTCTTTCCTCCTTTGCTTTCTTTTCATATATGGCTGTGGAATAGCTATTGAGTAAGGCTCCAAAGGGCAAGGCCTTGCATATGGTACAAAGTGGGTAAAAAACTCTTTAAATAATATAATCAAATTTTAGCATCCATTTAGATATCATAGTTCATCATTGCAAGAGTGGAGGATGGGTCCACCATAATGACTGTTCTCTCCTCATAGAACAAAATGATCCCATGGTTACAGTCACTATCTCTGAAAACGTATTTCTATTTCTATTAAATTACTATTAAAATTATAGCTGTGTGAGCCAGGCACGGTGGCTCATGCCTATAATTACAGCACTTTGGGAGGCAAAGATTCTTGAGGTCAGTAGGGTTCGAGACCAGCCTGGCCAACGTGGTGAAACCCCGTATCTACCAAAAATACAAAAATTAGCTGGGTGTCATGGTAGGTGCTTGTAGTCTCAGCTACCTCGGGAAGCTGAGGCAAGATAATTGCTTAAACACAGGAGGGAAGGTTGCAGTGAGCTGAGGTCAAGACACCGTACTCCAGCCTGGGTGACAAAGCAAAAAAAGAAAGAAAGAAAAAAGAGAAGAAAAGTATAGCTCTCTGAAGTGTTTCTATTAAGTGAAATTGCAAGATAGAAAATTATTTTGATATAAAATTGCAAAAGGAACATACTTTGGCCCAAATGTAGAAAAGAAATATACTAAAATGTTGAAAGGATATGGAATTTTATGAAATTGTTTTCCTATTTCTCCAGTTTTCTGTAAAATGGTATTTTTTTTGAGTCAAAATGCCAGAATTCTTTGAAATTTTTTAAAAAAGAATAAGCACGGAGAACCCGTGGATGAGTCCCTGAGACAAAAGCATTATGTCTTCCATTCATCCATGCACACATGCATTTCCTTAGGTAATTGTTAATTCATTTCATCAGTATTTTCTGAGCATCCACCAAAAGCCACCTAATCGGTCAGGTTCTGTTAATACAAAGGTGTGCAAACAGGATTTAGACTCTGAGGATCCCACAGATTAGTGAGGGAGAAAAACATGTGGATATATAAACATGGGGATAAATTTGGTGTAACATTTACCCCTTTCTGACCTTAGCATATTTGATTTGGCTCCCAGGCCTCAGCAATTTTAACTGGGATTATAGGCGTGAGCCACTGTGCTCAGCTCACACAGTTGTAATTTTAATAGCAATTTAATGGAAGTAGAAATGGGTTTTCAGGGACAGTGACTATAACCATGGGATCCTTTTGTTCTATGAGGAGTGAACAGACATTATGGTGGACCCATCCTCCACTCTTGCAGGGATGAACTATGATATCTAAATGGATGATTTCACCTGAGCAATAGTGAAATGCTTATACCTATAAGCATTATTGTTAATATAGATCGACAGAGTCAATGCCAGATGATGTCAGCCCACTTCCCATATTCATCACTATAATCATTACTAATATGTGTTTAAATGATACAGATGCCAGGCACCGTGCCAAAAGCTTTACATGGATTATTTTAGTAAGCCCCCCAATCACAGTTTAGTAAGGAGAGTGCTGACAATTGCCCACATTTTATAGATGAGGAAATTAGACCTCAGGGATGCTAAGTAAACTTGCTCAAGGTCATACAGTTAGTTAATGCTAGAGTTTAACTTCCATGCCAAATGACTCTAGGACCTGAGCTCCCAACTGCAGGGCGCCTTCCTCCCTCCCCTACAAGCCTCCCTTCTCTAGTTATTTTCAACAGGACATTTATCACTCTAAATTCCATTGACTGAAACTCAATGACCTGCGGCAAACATTATTCTAAGGAACAATATTTGCACAATTTTCATATCTTAATGCAGCAACTTGAGCTTCCATAGAGATTTAAATCCCTAATGAAATTTTCTTGTCAAAATTCTTGCTGAAGGATTGTTTAATTTGCTGCTCATGATATCTTCAGAATGACTCTGGGCTCGGGAAATAAGCTTCCATTCAGTACTCTCCCCTCCGTTTTTCTTCTTGTCTCCTCTCTTCTCTCCATTCCTTCTTCCTTCCTTTCTCTCTCTCTCTCTGTCTGTCCAATGCATACTTTTGCTGAGTGAAATCCCCATTAACAGGGGGTGAGAATCCCCTGCTTTTTTCTTCTCTCCCAGGCAATGCAAAGTTGGTCAGAAATGTGTACCTTTTACACTAAATTTTAAAAATAAAATAAAATCTTTTTTTTTTTTTTTTTTTTTTTTTTTTTTCACCATGTTTTTGTTACCCACGCTGGAGTAACGAGAGCAATGGCGCGATCTCGGCTCACCGCAACCTCCGCCTCCTGGGTTCAGGCAATTCTCCTGCCTCAGCCTCCTGAGTAGCTGGGATTACAGGCACATGCCACTATGCCCAGCTAATTTTTTGTATTTTTAGTAGAGATAGGGTTTCACCATGTTGACCAGGATGGTCTCGATCTCTTGACCTTGTGATCCACCCACCTCGGCCTCCCAAAGTGCTGGGATTACAGGCGTGAGCCACCGCGCCCGGCCATAATAAAATCTTAAATGACCTATATTTAGGAAAATGATGCAAAGATGTCACTGTGAGAGCCTTAAAGGCTTAAATGACTATTTCAAAAACTCATCCCCTCTGCTTTCTTTTCAATTCCAAGAACCTAGAGCTAACTCCATTCAGGAACACATTTACGTAAGATTACATATGTGTAATCTTATATAAGATTACACAATCTTATAAAGTGTTTCAATGACAGTTTTTATAAAAACATCTAATGCACCAATCTGTCAGATTGATCAAACCCTCCTATGGATTCAATGTACCTCAAGTTGCATTCACATCATGAGGCTGAATAGCAAGCAGGGGTTCAGAAGGTACGTAGTGAGTGACTCAGACTTTGGTCAGAGTCAAGAGGAAGTGACCTTCTGTGGAGCAGCCAGCATCAGCTAATGTAGCATTTTTGAAGGACATATTTCTGCCCCCTGCCTCCTATGCTACCAGTGTACCCAGGGATGGCAGCAGTAAGCTTCCCAGAAGCTGAGTTGTAGACCCCTGCCCTGTTCTTCCTTCCTTACTACCCATTCCCACCCAGTGCAGTTACCATCCCCAGCCTTGAAGCAGAGTTAGATGGAGCTGAACTATGTGTTGGTCAGAACTATGAGCCAGCCAAGGATTTTCTGCATCTCCTCTCTCATGATCACGTGCCAAGCTGAGTTCTCTTCAAGATGCTGACATAATCACCGACCGATGGAAGCGTGGGGGCTGCTGCAGAGAATAGACTCAGAACAGAATCAAACAATGGGGTCAGGTAGAGAAGACGCCCATTGGAAGCAAGGGCGCACCTCCTCACACACAGCTGGAGGCAGCCATTTCTACACTGACCTATGCCTTTCTC